ACTACGTACTCGTACACCGAAACTACTTGCTAATTCTGGAGAAGCACTTCAAAGCTTGATACTGATTTCTTTGTGACTAGTAAGTGTAAAATTTTATTTTTTTCAAAACAATTAGTTTGCCACAATTTTTTTTAGAGAGATTGAATCTTATAAATGAAACTGACGTGGCACATGGAAAGGTGTGAAACAACCAATAAGCTGACTCAATAGAGTCTATTACAGCAATAACAAACTCTCCAACCAGTTTAATTTGTAATACTACCTCCGATTATTATCGTATGCAACTTTGGAATTTTTAATAACTTACAAATAATACAATGAAGGATATAATACAATTCAGATGTAGTAAATAGGATTGTTCTACCTTATTTTCATTCCATTAACTTTACTTCATCTTCTTCAATAAAATTTAGTTCTAGTTTGCCGGAGCTCGGTATCTAAGGATAAAACAGTGATGGCTTAAAATCATTGTGTTCTTCGTTCTGTTCTAGATAGATCGATTGTTTGTTCATTTGATCAGCTCTAATTCTACTGTGCAATTTTGATAATTTTATTTCGTATATATATTTACGAATAATAATACGAGTCGTTTACCACACTAAATTAAATAACTAATTTTTTTTTATACCACATGCGGATTAGCATTAAAAGAGATCAATTTCCGCCAAAGATAATAGACGTTGGGGAAACGGACCTAAGCACAAAAATTCATTACATCTTCTAGCATCCCATCTAGCTACATGGTGAGCTAAAGTATTACCCACACGTTTAACATGAGATATAGAAAAGGCTACAAATGAACGAGAGAGTACAAATACCATCAAGTATATCAAAGGGTGAATAGCTGGTAGCATTTATCCTCACGCCTTGCACGACCCTAGACGCATCACTCTCCAGAACAATCGCTGAGTAACCAAGCCTCCTCGCCACCTGAATCCCATAGCGACATGCTGCTGCCTCAGCAAGCTCTGCTGTCCACCCTGCTCTTTCTTGTTTCACAGCAGAAGCATGCCATCCTCATTCCAGATTACAACCCCTAGCCTAGTCACCCTTCCCACATGAGCATCACAGTTAACCTTCACCAATCCCCCACTAGGCCGAGACCAAGAGCTCGTAGCTGGCAGACTTTGACCTCCATTTTTCATGAACGCCTTCTTGGCATATTCCACATACTCATGGACTGATATTGTCAAATTTGTCGCAATACTTATAGGACATGGATTCTCATTCTCAAAAATAGCTTTGTTACGGCACCACCACGCAGCCCAAGCTAGAGTTACCATCGACCTCAGTTCGTCATTCGTGGCCTTCGAAGCTAGCCACAATAACCTTTCGCTAAAACAGGTAGTAGGCGCTTGAGCAATCATGTGAGTGAATTTGCTAGCAGCCCAAATATCACTTGCTGCCTTGCATCCAAATGTGGCATGAATCACTGTCTCATCCCCACCTCCACAAATGGAGCAAGCTTTGTTATCAACCATATGACAATTATATAACTTTTCTCTAACCGCTAGAAAGCCCTTACAGGCCCTCAAAAGAAAGTGGGCTAGCTTCGGGGGGACCTTTAGACCCCATATAATTCGCTAAATTTCATCATGTGGCTGCCTTTGTACAGTAGCAGGGCCTTGCTTTGCAATCCAATAACCAGATTTTACAGAGTATTGCCCACACCTTGAAGGCCACCAATACATACTGTCCCTTATATTTCGGTATAACAAAGGGATAGCCAGAATTTGAGTTTGCTGAGCCGCACTAAAATTCTTGCTAATGATCTTCGTTCGCCAAGACATTGACACATGATCAATTAGATCACACACCCGCAACCCCATATCACTATCAGCCAACAGTGAAGGAACACACACCGAAGAATTACCAGGCAGCCACGCTGCCTCCCAAGCCGGAATGCCTACCTCGTTTCCCACTCCACCCACATTCTTCGGTTTACACAGATCATCCCATTTATGCCAGTGTAGTATTTAAGTCGATCTCGTAGTCCCCCACCAAAAACGAGCCAAAAGAGCGTGAATCTCATCAATAATTCCATCGGGTATCCTCATAATGCTCATCATATATGTCGGGATAGCCTGAGCTACTGCTTTGATCAATATTTCTTTCCCGGGCATAGATAGCAATTTCTCCTTCCAACCCTGCAATTTCTTCCAGAGCCGTTCTTTAATACCTGCAAAAATAGCTATCTTAGATCTACCAATTATCGTCGGTAAGCCAAGGTATTTTTCGTGCCTGTCAACTTCCCGAATCCCCAGAGTATCCACAATATCATTCCGACGAGTTGGATATACATTTTTGCTAAAAGCCACTTTAGTTTTATCAAAATTATTTTTCTGGCCCGAAGCTCTTTCATACTTGCTAATTATGTTAGCTATCACAGAGCACTCTTGAGTATTAGCTCTAGCAAACAGGATACTATTGTCAGCAAAAAATAAGTGTGAAACTCGGGGAGCACCACGCAAATTCTAGCACCATGAACAATTCCATCTCTAGCTGCCTTATTTATTAGGGTTGAAAAAGCATCAGCACATATTAGGAAGAGATAAGGAGAGATTGGGTCACCTTGCCGAAGCCCTCTGGATGGAATGACTGAACCAGAAATTTGCCCATTTATTTTAAAAGCAAATTGTACACTCTGAAGGCACTCCATAATTCGACCAATCCATGCCCCCGAAAAACCCATATTATCCATAACTTTCTCCAAAAACACCCATTCCACTCTATCATACGCCTTGCTCATATCTAACTTCAGGGCAAAGCTTCCATCCTTACCCTCTTCACCCCTCTTCATGGAATGGAAAATTTGAAAAGCCACAGGAGCATTGTCCTATATAAGCCGACCTGGAATAAAAGCACTCTGATTAACAAAGATCACCTTATCTAGAACCATCTTCAATTTATTTGCCACCGTTTTCGAGACAATTTTATAGATCACATTATAGCAGCTAATAGGCCGGAACTCAGAAAGTTGAGTCGGAGACTCACACTTCGGAATTAAGACAATGCAAGTATTGTTTACCTCCGATAAATTCACATCACCTCTCCACCAATTCTTCACAAAGGAAATAATATCAGGGCCAATAATATGCCATAATTTTTAGAAAAAGAGGGCATGCATACCATCAGGGTCGGGTGCTTTATTAGGGTGCATTTGAAAAAGTGCATTTTTAATCTCATCCGCCGTCGGCTCGCAGTCAAGCATAACATTCATTTCATCAGAACCACTCTCTCGATCCCCTCTAATGCATCCTGAAAACCCATCGGCGAGCTCGTAGCAAATAGATTCGAGAAATATGCAGTTGTCGACCTTTCTAAGTCCACCCGTTTCTCAAACCATTCCCCATTAGCATCTTGTAACTTCACAATCCTATGAGCCTTCCTTTGACTAGCTTTATGATGGAAATATTTAGTGGTTTTATCTCCATCACGAAGCTCATTAGCCCTAGCTCTAGCGTGCCAATATGACTCCTCCAATCTATATAGATGCTCAAGCTCCGCAGCTAGAGAGTTACACATTGCAAGCTTCACTCCATCCATCACCCCCCCTTTTAACTCTCTCATTTTCTTCTCCCCCTTCTTGATCCGTTTCTTCACCGAACTGAAAGTCAAAGCAGCCCAAGACGCCAACCTCTCACCACATATTGCCACTTTGTTCACCATATTTAATCCCTCACTTTCACTCCACCCCTTTGCCACCACCTCTCCACAATCACCATTAAATAACCACAAAGACTCAAATTTGAAACCCGTACTACCACTATTCTCGACAACTCTTTTTTTTAGTTGACATCATTATAGAAGCATGATCAGAATGAGTCTTAATAATGGGCAGGTTACATACTTCAAAATTCGGGTAGAGAGCACACCACTCTTCATCGGCAATAAATCTGTCAAGTCTTTCCCTCACATAGGTATCCATGGTATTACCCCTTTCCCAAGTGAAAATGCTACCATTATACCCCAAATCACGCATAACACAAGTGTCTATAGCATCTCGAAAAGCATCCATGAGCCTTTTACTCCTCGGGGGGCCTCCTTCCTTCTCACTTAGGCTCGATATCTCATTAAAGTCACCAAACATTATGCACGGCATGCAAGCTACAGTCTGATTTCAGAGAAGACATGAGGGACCAAGTTAGGTGTTTATTTGATTGTTCCGGCCATCCATAGATCCCAATAGCCCTCTACACAGCACAATTATTATCATCCAGAATATCAATAGCAAAATGATGCACAGAGTACGAAACAACATTCTCCTTAATATCCTTCCACCACATACCCATACCCCGCGATCTCCCAGTACTACTAATACATACACCATCAACATAACCACATTTATTTTTAATTTTATTAAGACGATTGTCATCGATCATAGTTTCCATAACAAAGACAATATTCGGCCTATCTATCCAGCATATATCACGGAGAGCCCTAATTGTCTACGGGTTACCAATCCCGTGGCAGTTCCAACTTAATATTTTCATTGTTTTTGGGGAGCTTGGGCAGCCCCAAAACTCCCTAATTTAAATACAGACTCAACATTAGTTACACAAGACTCACTATGTTTCAGCTTCTTCTCCTGGCAGCTCACACCGGTCAGCTAGTACCCCATCTCAGCAGCATCTGCTCTCCTTTTCCTTGATACAATGACATCCCCCGTCCCTCAGACACGTCCATATTAGTAACCTGATCAGCAACATCATCCACCCCCTTTTGTATCGCAACTCCAGCACCCAGAGGCTCAACATTCCCCTGCACCGTTTCCTGACAATGTACCCTATCACTATCCGCTTGAACAGATATGGGCCTCAGCACCAGTTTTCCATCACCATCACTAGCAACAGCCTTCAAGGAGATCGTTCTCGACCAAGGAGTAGTAGCATGAGATACCACTTGGGGAGAAAACAGCAGTTTCCTTGCATCCCCAAGGGGCCCAAGCCGAATTGCCTTAGGATTGTTGTAGTCGAAACGTTGCACTCTCCCCTTAGCATTCATATTTTCAATCCACTTTTTCCCCCTTTCTTTTCAATCTTAGAGACTTTCGAACGATGAGGTGAAACAGTCAAGAAAGGGCCGTACTGAAATACCACAGGCGATTCACTATCACAGGTATCTTTCTCCTCACAATCCTTATCTGTATGCCCAATTCGACCACAATAATAGCAAAAATCTCCAAGTCTCTCGTACTTAAACCCAACCCATTTGGTGCTCCCAGTCTCAACAACAACTTTCATTCCCCTACGAAGAGGTTTAGTGATATTCACCACCACTTTAACCCTCATATATTCCTCCCAGCAAAGGGGACCAGACTCGTCTACCTCCAAACATTCTCCAATACAGTCCCCATCATCACGAGCAAACTTAATCGAACATAAACGAAAAGGCACGTCAATAAGCCTAATCCAGAAAGGGCATGAATCAAACGTAACTTCCGAAGGTTGTTCATCGGCACAAATCTCCTTCAATAGCAGAATTTGATTATCAAAAACCCATGGCCTATCATCCAGCACCTTTTTCCTGTCATCCATATTAAAGAATTGAAAGATAAACAGGTTTGTATTCACGTTACGGATCGCAACGTTGTCATCAATTCGCCAGAGATTCTTTAGCACTCGTTTCATGGCCTCAACATTAAACGGTTTCCTAGTAAGTAATTTACCCACTAGAGACAGGACAATTTTTGAGATTGCCCCCTCTTTGGACGAAGTAGTACTCGATTGTCCAAACACAAAGTTCTCCTCATCAGTCAACTTCAAACGCTCCTAATCCTTCATCAATTGGGTATCTATGGTCACCACGCACACCAGCACTCTCGAGTTAGATCAGAATTTGGAAAAACATGGCAAATTTTGGTAGCAATTAATTGATTAAAAAACTCCATTACACGAAACCCTAGACGGGAGAAAAAACCCTACGCGAGGGACTTTTTAAATTAATTAATTAATTGTCTAATTTAGACTTTCAAAAATATCCATAACTAGTAAAAGGATAGCAAGGGTCAATCCCGCGAGGAGATTTCATAACTCTTTAAGCTCAATGATAGATATTGTATTTATGATAATATTTGTCGCAGATTAGGATAGATTTTATGTATATTTTGTATCCTTATCGTACTAGGTTTCCTAACGTGATAGGACTAGTATTGTAAACTCTATATATATTGAACACTGCTACACACTCCAATTTGAGGAGTTTTCCCGAAATCTAACATGATATCACAACTTAGGTTTTCGATCTAGCTTCTGCAAATTTTTTATTTTTTTGTTTCTAGCTATAATTAATTCACATATTAATTATAGATTTCACATACTCTGGCTTCCTTCACCAATTTCTCGTACTGCCAGTAGCACTTTAGATCCTTTGTTGACTTTAATTAATTGCTTCTACTCTACTGAGTAGCGCATTATAGCCGAACCCCCCTGTCAATTATGGCCAAGGACGATTCACCTCCACCACCGCCTCCTCCACCATCGACGGAATTCCACCCCGCCTTCTCCGTCAACAACATCAAGAATGCGATTACTTTGATTCTTGATTGGGAAAAGGTACAATACTCTAATTGGGTTGAATTGTTTGAGGTTCATTGTCATGCCTTCAATGTCCTTGATCACATCGACCCTAAGACACCTTGTCCGTCCGATATCTCAGATTCCTTATGGCTTCGACTTGACTCCATTGTAAAATAATGGATTTATGGGACAATTACAACCGACCTCTTACAAACGGTTCTTTGCAAAGGAGACTCGACCCTTCAACTTTGGACTAAGCTCCAAGACATCTTTCAAGATAACAAAAACACGAGAGCCGTGTATCTTGAAAATCAGTTTAACACCCTTCACTTGTCCAACTTCTCCGATATTAGCTCATATTGTCAACAGTTAAAGAATCTCAAGGATCAACTTGCGGCCGTTGATCAACCGGTGACGGAATACAAATTGATGATTAGACTGGTCTCGGGGAAGGGCAGAGGGCGTGGGAAAGATACGGGAGCACAAAAACAAAGGGAAGAAGGCGTGGGAAAGATACGGGAGCACAACAACAATGACAAAGTTCTAATCTACCTATTCAATAGGCCATCCCATTCTGTTGGGCCCAACAGCAGCCTTAAGGTCCTCAACAATGGCCAGTGCCTCCTTTTCCATACCCCCAGCAGGGCCCCAATCTCGGCCTGCACCTCAATAGCAACGAGCCGCCTATGTGGTCCACTACCCATAACAATTCCAGGCTTCGTACCCCGCTTATCAAGCTCCTAACTACGGGCCACTCATGACTCCTACGAAGTTGTGTAATTCTTTCCCCACTATGTCTCTTTTGCAAGACAACTCTTGGTATGTGAATTCGGGTGCGACGTCCCATATGACAAATAATTCAGGTACTCTCATACCCTTTTTTAATTTAAGTACAGATAATCATATTTTAGTAGGTAATGGTAGTCGCATTCCAATTACAATTACGAGTTATGGTCACACCACTTTGCCTTATTCAAAACCCCCTTTAGCACTACGTGATGTTCTTTTAACACCTCAAATGATTAAAAACCTTATCTCTGTTCGGAAATTCACTTCCGACGATTCTATATCCATTGAATTCGACCCTTTTGGCTTTTCCGTGAAGAATCTACGTACGGGGAAGGTAGTAACGAGATACAATAGTTCAGGGGATCTATACCTAGTGACCACCAACTCTAGCCCATCCACTTTTCTTGCAACCTCCCTCACTGCCGCTACTTCACCATCTCGGCATGATCATCTTGGGCATCCGGGAAATCCAGTTTTAAGCTTTCTTAGGTCTAGAAATCTTATTTCATGTAATAAAGAGCATGACTCTAGTTTTTGTGTTTCACTTTAATTAGGAAAACATGTTCGTCTACCATTATATAATTCTAATAGTTCAACTTCTACTGCTTTTGACATTATTCATGCTGATTTGTGCACATCTCCTATACGTAGTAACAATGGTCACAAATATTATTTGATATTATTGGATGATTTTACCCATTTTGTGTGGACTATTCCTTTAAAATTCAAATCTTAAGTATTCCAATATTTTTTGAATTTTAGAGCCTATGTTATGACCCAATTTGAAAGACCCGCAAAATCTTTTCAGAGTGATCATGGTAGAGAATTTGACAATGATCCTTTCAAATTATTTTGGGTCAAAAATGGAATCGTTTTCCGCTTCTCTTGTCCGCACACCTCTTCACAAAATGGGAAGGCCGAATGCATAATTCGCACGTTAAATAATATTTCTCGAACTCTTCTCATTCATGCTTCGATCCCACGTTCTTATTGGGTATACTCTTTAGAAACGACAACTTACCTTCTCAATATTTTACCAACCAAAGCCATAGCCAATGACATTCCGATTCATACTTTGTTTCGTAAAATACCCTCATATGATCATATTCGGGTTTTTGGTTGCCTCTATTTTCCTAATCTATCGGCCACGACTCCATACAAATTAGCTCCAAGTTCTACCCCATGTGTCTTTTTGGAATATCCCACTAACCATAAGGGTTACAAATGTCTAGACCTCTGTACCAAAAAGCTTATTGTCTCCCATCATGTAACGTTCGATGAGTCAACATTCCCCTTTTCGTAATCTCGATCACTTTCAAATCACGGATTACAACTTACTTAAAGACAATGACCCTAGCCCATTACTTTCACCAATCTGGCAACAACATATGCCCAAAAACCCAAACAACGGAGCCCATCCCACCTCCCTTACAAATGGACCCAAATCTCACCATGCAGCCCAATTCGCCCCTTCATTTGCATGGACAACAGAACAGTCCGCAGGAAGGCTGCGGTACAGACTATTCACCCGCAGCCCAGTCTACCTCACCCATTTTTCACTGCTGCTACTCCCCTTGCAGGCCCATCCTCTCCCCCATCCCACTCCTTTGGCAAACTCTAGCCCACAACAACATACCTAACTCTACTCCCCTCCACCTATGCGTGGATTGCAACCCATCCAACCCACAAGACCACCTCCTTCATCGCTTATCACTCATAGTCAACGAGGGATTTTTAAACCAAACCCAAAATATCACCAAGCTAATTTGACCATTCCTACTCACAAATCACCGTTCCCTAAGACTTATAAAAATGCTCTTAATGACCATAACTGGAACGCGGCGATGCAAGATGAGTATGATGCTCTTATTAAAACAGGGACTTGGGATTTGGTACCTAGACCTATGGGGGTGAACATTGTTAATTGTATGTGGTTGTTTAAACACAAATTCAAGTCTAATGGTGACTTTGAAAGGCACAAAGCTCGTCTTGTTTGTGATGGAAGGTCGCAAGAAGTTGGTGTAAATTGTGATGAGACTTTCAGCCCAATAGTTAAATCGGCCACTATTTGCACTGTTCTCAGTTTAGCTTTGGATAAAAAGTGGTCGATTCATTAATTAGATGTCAAAAATGCCTTTTTACATGGTGATTTGCAGGAAACTGTTTATATGCATCAACCTCCGAGTTTTGTTGATCGGAGAGCACCCTCCTATGTATGTCGACTTCATAAGGCTCTATATGGGTTGAAGCAAGCTCCTCGAGTTTGGTACCAACGCTTTGAAAACTTTTTGGTTAGATTGGGTTTTGTCATTGCTAAAAGTGACAACTCTCTTTTTTTCGACAGGGTAATGATATGGCATATTTACTTCTTTATGTTGATGATATTATAGTAGCTACCTCTTCTGCCAGGTTGCGTGGGGAGATCATATCTCAGCTGCAAACGGATCAATTTTGGGTAAGAAAGAAAAGATGAGCCAAAGTATGTAGAAATATCTGAGTTTACATAGAATTGGTAGTATGTAGAAATATCTAAGTTTCATAGAATTGGTAAAGTGACAAATAACTTGGCATATTATTGGACCTTGGTAAGGTACAAGCCATTTTTCATAAGTCATTGTGAAATAACATATTCTTGATTAAAGGTATGAGTTGTACAGGACACTAGTGAGTTTAATCAATGATCTACAAACAAGCTAAACAAATCAAGGTTTGGATAGCAAGGTACTTATTACTTTTACTAAAGGATTGGTAAAAGATGGTTTAGGTAGAAATTAATTATTTTTAGTATGATGAGTAAAGGATTGATAATATTATTGGTATTCGCAACAAGAAATGAATATAAAGAGGTTTTATGATTATTTTTACCCAAGGATGGAAAGAAAGAAGTAAAAAAGTTGAGTTATGTGGAGTTACGGGGGCGTAACTCGTTTTCTTTAAGGGGGTAGAGTGCAGTATAGAATTACGCGCTTTTTCCTTAATTTTGGCATTTTAAATGTTTTTTTCGTCAGTTTTACACTGATTTTGTTGTTAAGTTTGATTACTTTACACATTAGGATGTGTAACTTTATTAGCAAGGATGAATCTCACACTAATAATTGGTGTAAGTTTGTTAGTTAGTTTAATATTTTACACAATGTTTTGTGTAAGTTTATTAGTTTATTTGTTATTTTACACACTATGTTGTGTAAGTTGTTAGAAAGTTTGTTATTTTACTCATAAGTTTGTGTAGA